ATTTTATAAAAATAATAATTAAGTATTTCGTTAGAACTTAATGATTATCCTAATTATATTTTAGATTTTTTATATTTAAAATGAGATGTTTATCATGTATTTAATTATGTTTATCTGCAGTTAGTTACACAAATTCAAATATGAAGCTTTAATAAGTTGTACTTATGCAGAATCTACTTACAATCTTGAATTTTAAGTAATATGCATTAATAAACAATACTTTACGCATAAAAAATGGTTTTTAAGAGTTTTTGTCAAATGCTTTATAATATAGTATAGATAAGTAGTACGTACACAGAATCTACTTGCAATATTAAGTTTTAAGTAATATCATTAATTAACAATACTTTACGCACAATGGTTTTTAAGAGTTTTTGTCAAATGTTTTCTAATATAGTATAGATAAAATCTAAAATATAATTAAGATAATTATTAAGTTATAACAGAATGTTTAATTATTATCTTTATAAAAACTTATATTGTTAAACCAAAAATAAATAATTTTGTTATTAAATCTAAATTAAATTATAAAAAAAATTAAATTATAAAAATTATTAAAAAAAGAAAACTATTAAATAAAAATAAAAACATTATCAATTTCTTAGAACCACATAAAATCTTATTATATTATAAAGATTAAAATAAAAATAAAATATTAAAATAAAAATTTATTTCGTTGCATTACGAATGATAAATGGAATCAAGAGAAGGTGGACGATGATTCTGACAGATTGATTGACAGCAGTCGAATATGCACAAAAAGACAAACACGACCTCTCTACACCAACTTCACCCAAAGTTCTACCCCAATCCGGCAAATAATTGTCGTCATCTCTATCTCATCTCCATCTCCAAATAGGTTTAGTTCCATAGTTTCTCAACGATTAAGGTATGTATTTATTCATAAGTTTATGATATCAGCATGCATCTACTTGATTTGATTCGATTAGTGTACCGCAACTTCGAAAATTTCTGAATTTCTGTTATTTTTGGATATGATTATGATGCAGTTTTTTTCGTATTTGATTAAATTAAAGTTTGAATCGATAATTTTTGCATTAGATAGTGATTCAAGATCATGTTGTCGATAGAGATTTATGATACCTTTTCAATTTTATTTCTAGTTGATTTATCGGGGCATGATTTGATAATTTTGGTCGACCTCCCTGATCGCCCAACATTCTACATTTATCGTTTAAATATTGAAGCTTGACATGTTTACCTTTTTGATGTTGTGAAGGTGTTTGGGGGATTAAAAGTTTGTGATGCCCGTTTTGGACTTCTCTGAGTTGAGAGAATAGAAGGAACAAAAATATTTTTTTGGATATAGGAGGGTAGTGGAGATTCGATTCGGATAGGGAAAGTAAGGAATGTATAGGCCAGTGTCAGCAATCACGATTCGTGGTGGACTGCCAACAGATAATGGAGATGCTGTGGTGACTCTTGACCAAGTTCCTCGATGGATTGATGGGGATTTTAGACATTCCTATGAAATTGAAGATCCCAGTTCACACTTTCCCGACCCGTTAGCTTCATCTTCTGAGGCAGAGAGTAGGGCGAATGGAATGGTTTCAAGATTTCCTGTTGATCATGAAGTTAATTCAAAGATTTATCTGTGGAGAGGAAACCCTTGGAATATGGAGGTTGATGCTGTTGTGAACTCCACCAATGAGGTGAGCAGTTGATTCTTATGAAACAAGTGGCCATGAGTCCCATTACATGAACTTAACGCATAATGCATTTCTGGACAAGAAATGGTTTTGGAACCGTGTTATGCGTAAGGGTTCATTGTCATCTGGTTCTACTTATGTTAATATTCTCCTATGTTGAAATGTGATTTCAAATGTGTTTATGGACCATTGGTCTGTCATATGCTCAATGATTTCCAATTTTATACCATCAAAATTACTAGAACAGGGAGATTGAGCAAATTAGGCTGATATACGAGAGTAGAAGTTATATATATGTGTGTGTGTGTGTATATATATATATATATATATATATATATATTTCAATTAAAAAATTGAAATTTAGGGGTGTATGGGATTGCTTATTTAAAACAACTTATGCTTTTCTACAAAAGCACTTATCTAACTTATTATAAGTCAGAAGGGTTTAACTTCTCAAAAACTCCCCTATTACCGGTTTGACACTGGTATAAGTTGTTTATCCAAACACTCAAAAGTGCTTATTACCGGTGCCACACCAGAATAAGTCAATAAGTTGTTTTTATAAGCAATCCCAAACATAAGCGGCTAGTCACAAATCTAATGGCTGTGAACTTATATTAGTATTATTTATCTATGATAGATGTTTCCCTGTTGCTAAGTGCAGAAGAATATTATGTTTTACAAAATAGCCATGAAATGCGAAAATTGTTATGGATTAAATTATAAGAAATTTTTTAAATGAAAAATGAGCTCAAAGCTGCAAGAAACTTTTACTCGTTCTTTCTGACATTCTCTGATGTTGTTTCCGACATTTTCGGACACACCTCACCACAAAAATAAATTGTGACAACCATAAGGGTGGTGCCTGATTGGTTTGAGTTTGACTCCAAAGGTCAAAGGTACCAGGAGGTCTCAGGTTCAAATCTAAGGAGGAATAAAAATCTCTTTGTGGCCACGGAGGTTCAAATGCGGTGACTTCGGGCTATTTGCAAAGCAGGTGGTCGGCCTGGGATTAGTCGGCTCGCATAGCAGGTTGGATATCCAGGTTAATAAAAAAAATTGTGACAACGCAGCTTGCGGCAAAGCAAGGACATGCGTTGATGCACAAAAAGCAAGCCAAAGCCCAGCTTGCAGCACGACAAGAAAAAAGTGTCTTTAAGGCGTTGACTTGCGGTTTCTTGGCTATTTTGTAAGAAAAATAAAATGGTGGCTATAATATATAACCTTTATTATGAGGTGGCCATTTAAGATGATAAACCTATTTTGGGCCCTAGAAGTAGTACATTAATCTACATAATCTTCTAAAGCATTTGCACTCTATAGTCTAGAACATCAAGTGTGCTACTATAGGTGTTTATTTGTGTGCCTGTCTGTTAGAATGTTATTGGAAATCTCATCCTCCACATAAGCCTCATGTAGCTCCTAGAAACAGGGCCTACTTGTACATGTTGTATGTGTCGATAGAACTTCCACAAGCACCATTAGTTGTGTGGTGTGGGATTCAACAATATGACAGCCCACATATACATATACAACGATCATCATTACTATATCTCTCTTTAGTTATAGTCAGTAGTGCATTAGCTTGTCTCCTTCGTACACTAACCATCCCACAAATATTATACATGAACTCAAAACTATAAAATTTATGTGCAAGCGATGCAGCATGTAGGACATCAGCTGTCCCACTTTATGCATATAGGGGTGATCATTGTCTCACTCTATGCATATATTTGTGTATCGACCTATAGATTAACACAAATTAGTTTAAATCAACTGATCAACTCCTGCAGCCATTTTGTTCTTATCCATGGCATTGATCATTGTTCACATTAGGCTGTGCAAAATCTAACTGTAATGTTGTATAGCTTTTCATAAGATGTTCATTATTGAGTTTCCTTTACCAGAACATGGATGAAGCGCACTGCAGCCCTGGTCTGCATGCTGCAGCAGGGCCTGGTCTTGCAGAAGAATGTGCAACACTGGTAACTTACCTTGCACTTAATACTTTTTTATGTAATAGAAGGGACATGTTTTTGTATAACATGTATCTATAGACTTTACTAGTATCAGAGGAAGACGTAAAAGAATGCAAACTAATCTGATATAACCTTTGACTTTCACAGGGTGGCTGCAGAACAGGAATGGCGAAAGTTACCAATGCATATGATCTACCAGCAAGGTAGGCATTTGGTTGTTGTGTCAAATTGCTTAGCAATTAAGACCCCGTTTGAATATTTCATGTTGAATGATCATCAGATAAGCTATACCTTAGTAGCACCAACTAAGTGTAGATTTATTAGTGTCCGTCTTTGATCAATGTAGGATTTGATTTTAGATCAATAAATTCAGCCTAGGATTTTTTTTTCTTCATTTCTATTACTTCTCATCACTTAGAAAAGCGTGCATAAAATGCTCTGAATGTACATAGTTGGTATATTATGTATGAATGTATTTAAGATTTAGCAAATATCACTCATTTTTAGCTATATTCAAGGTTTGTTAGTCATATGATCTATAGCATGAAAAAATTGTGTACATTGTGGTCTTTCATGATGGAGATTGGACATATTTCATGTTATTTCAGTCAATTCTCAGTGTGCTTCAAGACCATAATTTGTCCAGCATACTCCAAGATGGCTCAAAACTCTTTTCTAACATAACAAATTATATGTTCTGGTTTTCTTGTAGGAGGGTTATACATACTGTCGGGCCTAAATACGCCATAAAATATCATACTGCTGCAGAAAATGCTTTGAGTCACTGCTATCGTTCTTGTCTAGAACTTCTCATTGAGAACGGACTTCAGAGGTTCTTTCATACCCATAGGCTGCATCCAATAATTAATTCCGTCTCTTTTCATGTGGCAATTGTATGTGTGGCAACACTTGAGCTTATTATCCCCTCAAATTTATGAACACAGCATTGCTATGGGCTGTATTTACACAGAGGCAAAAAATTATCCACGGGAACCAGCAGCTCATGTAGCAATAAGTAAGAAAACCCCTACAATTTCCCGCTTCTTTATGAACATTATGTTCCAGTTTGATTTATTTTGCCGATGCAACTGTAGCATATATATATATATATATATATAAATTCCAATCCTGTGCCTATAACTTCAAAACTGCAGGGTGAGACTCAAACATGTACCTTTACAACTAGATTATCACCTTGGAATGTAGGTATACATATTACATGCATGCATACAAATAAAAAAAATACACACCCTAGACTCCAACGTGTGTTGGCTGACGATAGATGGTTTTGTGTACATCACTGAGTTTGAAGCTGAAGGGAACTGAAAAGTATACTTGAATTCAAAATTTTAATATCTTTTGACTTCCAAAAATTAAAGCAATGCATCTCGTTGTTCTGTTAGAGGTATAGTAAATGATTAATGATCAGACTCCAAAATGGGGTATTTTGATGCAGACACATAAATCAGTATTGGTGTACAAAAGTTTTTCTTTTTCTCTTCTTTTATCCTTGCATCTGTATAATGGTACTCAACTCTTGCATTATATGTGCTAATTCTTGTTTCTATCAGGAACCGTCCGCCGGTTTCTTGAGAAACAAAAGGATAAAATCACAGGCATGGTCTTCTGCACAACTACAGCAAATGATACTGAAATATATAAGAGGTGAGCTGGTGGATGTCTGTTATGCCAATCTCGCAAGACATTTTCTGCTACTTCATTTTGTGACTTTTTATCTGGTTGCCCTCAATATGCGAAGAGTATACTTTTCGTTTAATGGACATCCATTTAAGCTCTTTCTCCTTTATGTTCTTTACACATGTAGATTGCTTCCGCTGTACTTTCCTCGCGACAGGAAGGAGGAAAAAATTGCCATTACAAAGCTTCCTGCTGATGTCGGAGATGAAAATGGTGAGACAATTATAGATGAACGGAAAATCAGAATAACACCTTTACTCAATGTGAAGAAGACTGTTTCAAAACCCCCCCAAGCATCAGTAGACTTTCCTGTCAACGATCTTGGATTGGCTAGACGGTAAGTGACCTGGAAAACTCATTGTCTTTTACATAATTTTAGCAGATTGATACTTTTTTTTGTGAAATATGTGCCACTTGAGCAGGTTGATGATTGGTGAACTTATTGTTCTTAAAGCTATTGTTGAATGACAGGGACTCTTCATCTTTGGATTCATATCTAGATCCTGCTTTCATGTCCCTAATCAAGGATCCAGATCAGCGACGTAAGGAACAGTGGGAGAAAACCGCTCAAGCACAAAATGGGTTTAAGTTCGCTAAAATTCTAGGGTTTGGTAATCTTGGAGGGCCTCCACTATCTGCCGCTGAAGAATACTCACTCCATTCTAGATACCTTGCCAAAGCTAACTCTCTTAATCTTTCTGAAATAGCAGAAATGAAGATTGTGTAAGTAACCTTCGAGTTATTTATTATAGGTGCTAACTGGGTGTTGTGTATTTCAATTTTGAAATTTTATGTTTTTATTCAACTGTATACACAAAATTAATCACTATCTTATACGTGCTCCTTGCTTCAAACCATCTTTTCCATCCTGGCATTTACATTGGGGATTGTCAACTATCATATAGTGCGCACTATCTTATATGTGCTCCTTGCTTCAAATCACAACATTTCATTTTCTGGTAACTCTTATCTATTTGCCCATTCTCTTTGGTACAAAGAATTAATAATATAGCAACATTTAACTTCCATGGGACGGATAGAATTAGAATATGTTGTCATCCTTCAACTATTATCATTGGTTCTTAGTGCTTTGCATGCTGATGGCATACATTTTGTTGTACTTGTTAGACATGATTATTTTTATTTCAGGTACCGAGGAGGAGTAGACAGTGAAGGTCGTCCAGTCATGGTTGTAGTTGGAGCACATTTTCTTCTTCGTTGTCTTGATCTTGAGAGATTCGTACTCTACATAGTAAAGGTAATGAATTGCTTAACCACATACCGCTGTCCAATAAAAATTGCAACTATTGACTTTACTAGTAGGCTAGCAAAGATACCTGACTCACTCTTCTATAATGACAAAATGGAGGATATTGATCCAACGCAAACATTAACTAATAATGACAGGGAGGTTATAGGTAATTTTAGCCTGAAAAAGTTTCCAATAAACAAAACATTACAATTTCATTAAGACAACCCTAAATGGAAATCATTATAGTTTCATGGGACAGAGGGAGTACTAATCTACTAAATGAATCATGATTTTCCCTTTCTCTAAAAAAAAAAAAGCAACATTTGACTTGATAAATAGTTCAATAAAACTGTTTGACTACTAGTCGAATAACTAAGGTGTTCCCTCAAGAAGGACAAAATGAAGAAAACTTCTTGACCAAAATCAAAGTTATGAATATCATGTAATGATTACTAACAAAAAACAAAATAAATCGGGTCAAAAACTTATGAAAGAAGGAAATGTTGCATTTCTTGATACATTTGGAAACAGAAGTTGCAATTTTTTAGGAACGGAGGAGTGATTTTATCATACTCCTGGTGTATAGGATGTGTTGTTGATTGTGTATCATCTGTTAAATGTTGAACTACAGGAGTTTGAGCCCTTGATCCAGAAGCCTTATAGCATTGTTTACTTCCACTCTGCTGCATCTTTACAAGTGTAAGTATTTATTGCTTTTGCTTGTCTTAGTCTTTAAACCATCTTTCTTTCTTTTTTTATAAAAAAAACATAGTGCAGTCCACATGCATACAACTTGCATCTCTTAAAGGACCAAAGTTGTATGGGCCACCCAAAGGAATTAGATCCCCATTTGGATGCCTACAGATCAAATTTTATGTTGTGACTGCTCATAGTTTACAATTTCTTCCTCTTTTTCATTTTACCTTACCGTTTTAAGAGAAATATGCAATCCATGACTGTTGTGGCAACGGTTATTGGACATAGATGGAAAATGCTACATTTTTACAAAAGTGTTGCCTTTTCGAACAATCATATTTGGACTGTGCAAACTATCTTTCTTGTGAAAATGCCAAAAGAAAGCCATTTGGGTAAATTGTAAAAATGTAAATGGCACGCCCTGCTTCCCTCTTCCCTCTCGATAGCGAGGAGAATTTTATTTGGCCCTTTTTGTCCGAAATTGATCGTTCCCTAAAAAAAATATTTTTTATTTTTTGTCTTACAAGAATAATGATTAGTTTGCAATGAAAAGTCAAGTATGTTAGTTTGAGAATTCTGTCTCTCATTCTAGACAAATTCCACATCTCCCTCTTAGCCTCTTAGGTATCATCATCGTCTCTTGGTAATTGTACTCCCTTCCAAAAAAAAAACCAATGCATCCGGTTTTGGGTTGTCCCAAATAAATGCAACATGTCCTTCTCTGGAAAGATTTTTTCCAAATTTGCTTATTGTGCTTGTTTGCAATTATTTCAAAATATTTATGAGATTGATAGCTAGTGGTCCACATGCTTAAGGGGTATTTTAGGTATATGGTTGTTAGTAAAAGATTTTTATTAACTGTGATATGTCATATGTTGCATTTTTTACAGTGACTATATTTTTCCTCTCAAATTAGTCATGGAATTTCTGCAGCAGTCGGCGATAATAAACATGTTTATCATTTGTTATATAACAACATTATCCAATTGAATTCACTTTGTAAATCAATTTTGTGGAGTTAACAGGCAGCCAGATCTAGGATGGATGAGGAAATTACAACAAATACTCGGTAGGAAAAGCCAGCATAATCTTCATGTAAGCAATACTGATACATACATGTATTTCTGTTATTTTTAGTACATTTTGGCCTACCTTTGTGCCGAAGAAGAGTCCACTTTTGGTTCTACTAGTTCAAACTTGAACTTTTGTAAATCTTTCAATCCTTGTTTGCTTCCTCAATGTATAAAACATGGAAGCCAGTTTTTATTGATTTGGAAGGTTAGCAGATAAAGGGATAACCGGTTTGTGGTCAAGTGGCCGTCACTGACTCATGACATTAACATTGCATAGTGAATAGATCGTAGAAGAGTACTAACATGGATAATTGATTAGCCACAAATATAACATAACCATAAATTGTCAAATTCTGGATGTTCTTCTGCAAGCTTTAGTGTTCAACATAAGAAATATATATTTAGAATAGGGACAGAATAACATTATGAGTAGCTTATATACATTTTACATCATGGGTGAACTGTTGAAAAGCTCTCTGGAGCACCAGGTTGAGCCATCAAACTGTTTGGCCATTAATCTTTAACTGACTTTCTGAATCCTTGATTTTGGTGTTGACTGTTAGACTAAGTCAACTAGTCTAGTTTATATTATTAATATTGTCTAGGGTCCAAAGTGTAATTAGTTTTACCTATATAAGGTGTATCAGATTATTATTATTTTTCAATCAATACAAATCAATATCAAGTTTAATATTGACCCATCTTTACCAAAATAGAGGTTCAACTGCCAGGTTGAGCTATATGAATTTATATTTTGTATTTCCTATGTATACAGGCAATCTATGTCCTCCATCCAACCTTCGGACTGAAGGCTGCAGTATTCACAATGCAACTTTTAGTCGATGTCGTGGTATGCACAAACATGCTTGATCTATATTATCACTCTCATTTACTTAAATATCTCGGTATATAAATGGATATCAACTTACAGGTGTGGAAAAAGGTTGTATATGTTGATCGGCTTCTTCATCTCTTCAGATATGTTCCTCGTGAGCAGCTAACCATCCCAGACTTTGTTTTCCAGTTGAGTCTTTCATCCTTCCTTTATTAGAGAACTCTTTCTTTATTCCAGCGAGATATAAGACCCTTAACTGTTAGTAGAAGCAATTCTTTTGGTCAATAATCACAAAATAATATATTTGTGGTTTAGCAATTTGCCAAAATCCATGGTGGTTAGAATTCTTATTATGTTTTCATGAACTTCAGTAATCAAAAGGAAATAGGCCATGTTATGCAACCATAAGCTAGCTTATTTTTTGAGCTTATTGAAAAAGCCATATGTGGTTAGCAATAAGCTAGCTTCTATAAGTTTAGCCTATTGATACGTTACCTGAACTTTTTCCTGTTTTTCCCGGTTATGCCCCTAACCTTTTTCCAATTAATTTTCCAACATCTCCTTTATAGGTCATTTTTTCATTTAGCTTTTCAGCTAGTTTTTACCAAACATAACTAGTTTATCAGGTAACAGTTAACTTATCAGCCAACTGCTAGCGTATCAACCAACAGCTAACTTATGAGCTAATTTGCCAAACATAGCCATAAGGAATTTACAAAACAAGGCATTTAGTTTCTTGTACAATAGCAATTCAGACAGAAAATGGTAAAAATAGATTTTGTCTTTAAGGTAGTGTTTGGTACGCAGACTGGATGAGACAGGACGGGACGGTACGGAACAGGACGGGACGGGATAGGACTAATTGTCTGTCCTATGTTTGGTACGACTAGGACAGGACAGGACAAAACTATTAAAATGATCATATTACCCCTAAATTTTGTTCAATGTTATTTTATATCATATAATGATTGTAAAATGACAACAAATCAACCAAAATATTGTCTTTTTAACTTTAGTCCCATGTTGTTCCACCTTTTTTGGTGGAACAAGAAATATCAAGATTTGTCCCAGTAAAATTAAAAATAGTCCCACCTTGTCCCATGTTTTTTTTGTCCATGGCATGCCAAACATGGGACTATTTTTTTTGTCCCGTCCTCTCTCATGTAGTATGCATATCAAACACACTCTTATAAGTATTTAAGACTAACCATCCTCTTAACAAGTTGGATCCGTGAAGTAGCAATTGTGTCTGCAAAATAGATCATGCTCCATTGTGTTGGGGGGTTTTGACCATTTTAATAATGTGATTAATCGAATTCTTTGTGGGTTTTTTGTTTTGTAGGCATGATCTGGAAGTAAACGGCGGGAAGGGGCTTATTGTGGATCCAAGAACGAAATATGCATATCAACGACCATAGGTGAAGCCTGCAATGTACTGCTGAAGTTTTTGGTCTTCCCATAGTTTAGTTATTAGTACAGTGAGTTGTTATTTGGTAATTTTCTAGGAATTAGCTTTCAATCTCATGAAGATCCATGAAACTAATCGCCCTTTTTCCTGATTTGTTATTATTTGTGGAATAGGTGTCTTGAATAAGCTCTTAAGTGGTAATGGTGCTGTTTTCAGACTTCAGATTTATCCCAGAAAACCTCTCTGCAATGCATTGATGAACAGTGGCTCATGCACCGCTTCCGGCAAGCTGCTGCCAGTGCGGCCAGCTGTGGGTGGCGATGGTGGAGGATAGGCTCATGAACCGCTTCCAACAGGCTGCAGCCAGCTGCTGGTGGCGGTGTTGGAGTATAGGATTGTAAGGCCATCTACAATTGTTATTATGCCATGATATCGTATGCACAATTTTGAAGGACATGGTCGCTGGTATTGCATAGCCATTAGAGGAGTTCATGAACCGTAAGGCTCGTGAGACCCAGTCCGTCCAACCCGTAAGAAAAGCGGTTTTGACTCGAAAAAATGTCTAGGCATGGACTGGATCGTTAAAATTAATGTACGGACCTAGGTGATGAAAATAATTTATATAGTTAATATTTTTGTGTTCTTTTATTAAAAAACCGCACTTGACTGACTTTGGACCTGGACCTGGACCTCCCTTACGGAATATATGTCATATAATGCGTTTTTAATCTTGATCATTGTTAGAGCATCACCACCCTACCTAGTTCCTGCCGATAGGCGCTGGTAGCTTGCTTCCCAGCCTTGCCTTATATGATAGTTCTGGCCATGGCTTGTATTCAGTGACCGAGTTCAGTGACCAAGGCTAGGCAACCACTCGCTAGTTGAAAAAGACGCAGCTAGTCTTGGGATCAAGGCTTCTTTCCTTTGCTGAATCAGGAATAGCCGACGTACCGCGCTTGGACCATGTCTCCTGAACAATATGTATGGCAGGTCTAAGTTAATGTAAACGTATGAAGCTTTTTGTCTAGAAATTAGCGTAGGAAGTCACACTTAATATTGTTACTCCAATCATATTCCTTACATTTTATTTTAAAATTCATTGTGTACTTTAATACATTATATTTACATTTTCTAAATATTAAAATAAATATAATGAAATAATATACCTATAATGTAAGTTAGGGTAGCGAGTGCATTGTTGTCTTATCATAAGTTGGAAAGATTGTATTTTGAATAATTTTACATAACTTGTAAGTTCTTTTTTTAATTTTCAAGGATTTTTCTATTAGTCCGTGGACAAGTCAGCCCGTTTGCGGGACGGTCTTGAGTAAAGGGTCGTTTATCAAAACACTTATTTGGTAAGCGTTTTTCGGTAAAATTCAACAATATCGTTTATTTACCAAGTAAGATTTTATCCACTAAAATGATATCGTATGCAATAATTTATGTGATAAGCGTCAACCATGGTAGAGTCATCGTTCTTACTTACGGGATGAGACTCTCGGTTCTTATTTTCGATCTTACCAGATCATATTCATTCGATAAAATAATATGACTTGATAAATGCTTACTCGGATAAAAATATGGTAAATAACACCTAAGTTATTAAACCCACAAAATTGGGTTTGGATTCAAAATGTGAGGGCCATTGGACAAAAATAATACATTCGGCCCAGCCCATATCAACCACCTCTAAATTCTAAAGAGCCGTACAGTGATGACTTGTTTATTTTAATCAATTTATATAATTTTGTAACGCCCCAACCCACACATTGCATGTAATACATATTTCATACCAAAGAAATACATATTCATATACATCTGGGTCCCTTAGTACAAGAATCTATCATGACCAAATACAAGGTCCAAAAATTCAAAATACAATCTTGTACTAATCAACAAAATTATACATCAAAAGCAATTCCTCATCCATAATGCATATAAGAAAAGCATTACATCTTTCCCTTTCCCTTACCTTCTACACCTCTTGCAATACATATTTCAAAATCACAAAACGAGGGTTAGACTAAAGAGTCTAGTGAGATACCCTATTCATGTTATTGCAGGGTGAAGGATCACCAAAACTTTTATAAATACAACTATTCATATATATAACAAATATATGAATACACAAGAACGAAATACCAGATCATTTACCCTCTTTTCA